GCCCTCTTGCTAAGGGTTTCCTGGTTAGGAAGTCTCTCAAACTGCCCCCCTTTCTTTTGTCCCAGATCAGCTGGATATGGATCCCTGCTTTCCACAAGCGGCATCTCTGTCTCTCCAGGAATTCTGCCTATCTTAGTTTTCAAATCCCTTAATCATGAGCATATCATGAAAGCACCATGAAATGTAGGTTTGTGCTCCCAGAGCAGATCTCCAGAGTTAGGTATTCATCAGTCCCAGGCCTCCACTCCCTCCCCGTTGCATTTCTCTTCCTCCTGCTGGTGAGCTGGAGTGGGGGAAGGGCTTGGGTCCCTCCGGGCCACAGCTTTGGTACATTACCCTGTTCCATGAGGTTGGCTCTTTTCTCCAGGTGTATGCCATCTGGTGCAGTCTTCTTTCCTGTTGCTCTTTCAGGATTAGTTGCATTAATTATATTTTCATATTATATGCGTTTTTAGGAGGAAGCCTTTGTCTCACCTCTCACACTGCCGTATTTAATCCTTTTTGTTATTTCTTATAACCAAATTTCTTTAGAATTCCATTCCCAATTAGGAAAACTAGTTATAACTCCAATATATGACCAGCTACATGGAAACAAACACATTAGCTACACACAATGGGATCAGAACCAGGAGATCTAAGTTAGTTTGTTTTAGTCACAAATTAGCTGTATAATAGTGGGCAAATCACTCATTCTCTTCAAACTTTAATTTACTTAGCAACTATAAAAACAGTTGTGATTACTCACAAAGTGAGTAATGTAAACTCAGTCTTTGAGAAAGAAGTCAGAATTAACCTAAGTCTCCCTTTGAGAGATTCAGCTTTTTAGTTAAGATATAGATGTTGGGGCTCGGAGGTTGCCTTTGAGATTTTGGGGCAACACAAAAAGCAAAGAAGGCAGCAGGAGTCATCATGGAGGGTCCTCAGAGACCACTTTATTCTGCATAAAGCTGTACTTCTTATACTGCTATAGTGCTGATTCATGGTTACAGAAGTACTGAAGACACGCGTGTGCATGGCCTTCATGGCCAGGTGCCTGGCCTTCAGAGCCCTTATCTAGCTCCTTTCTCATGGATACAATATGCTGTGTTTTCAGGTTTCTCAAGGCCAGACATATTTGGGGTGAAGTAGAAGATAGCTATACTCATAGAACAGTAGGGAAAGTGTGTGTGTGGGGTGGGGGGCCTTCTCTACAGTAGAGATGTAGTTTTTCAGTAAATTCTAAGATGTAGAGATATATAGTTAAGTAAGAGGTATAGTTTTTAAGTTAAACTACAAAGCAAGGCACTTGAAACTTAAAGAAATTGTTTTTATTCAAACACTGAATTTAGACCTAGTGTCTAATCTAGTTAAGGTGAAGGGTGCTAACCAATAAGGTGAAGATCCCAGGTAAATTTAAATTGACTATGCTCTACTGCAAAACAGAGAAAATGACAGATTTCTTAGTTGTGCTTCCTTGCCATTCATTGTTGTATTATGTTCATGTCAAACTGTTTTTACAACAGGGCTTGTCTTTATACACCTTGTGGATAAAGTCAAAGTTCTTATGGCCAGGATTCTCACCTGGCCCTGGCCGGCTAGCTCACTACAAACATGTGTTTTGCTATTGACTCTATATAAAGAGCTCCACTCAGTGCTCTGGGCAACATGGTGGCAGGGCTTCATCGCTGCAGGAGAGCAGAGACTGAGAGGGCTGTGGGGGCAGAGAGGCCCAGAGTCAGAGACTGGCTTGCTGTATGCAGACTTGCTCTGAGTGGACAGGATTCTAGTGATTGGCCTGCCACCATGGGAATAGAGTTGGGTATAAACCCTTTCACCCCAAGAATGCTCTATTGTCATTTCTCAGTCTCATTGAATCCATAGTGAACTTGACTGAAGCTGAAACCCATTGGTAAGACAATCAGTGATGTGGGCAGGATTTATTGTTGACCAAGGAAAAGAACAGGTTGCTCTCATGGGAGGAGTGTTTCAGTGGGCTGCCACTATGGATGGGGAGACATTTGAATGCCTACCAGTAGACATGTGGTCTGAGGTGGCTTGCCTCCTAGAGGGCTGGGCCTCATCCCAGGACTGGAGGCAGGTGGAGGTGACACCTGAGGCAGTAGAGGTGGCCCTTGGTAGTGTAAGTGGGTCCTTTGAGAAACAGAGTGCCTGTGAAACTGCAGGAAGTGTGGGGTGGCTGCTTCTCACAGTATTAAAAATGTCTACAGATAAGAAGTACATGTTCCTGAGACAGACACAAGAAAAGACAGCATGAGAATGTGAGCTGCAAGGTGCCGTTTAGGTAAAAAATTTGTTGGTGCCTGAAATGGCATCACTACGAGGTGCTGTGGAAATGGTAAAAGATGTCATGGTAGCCAGAGAGGAAGCAACAGAAGGAGCAGTAGCACGAGAGGAAGTGGCACGAGAGTGCAGGCTGCCACATGCCATGGGGCAGGTGAAGAATGTAGTGGAGCTGTCAGCCCCAGAAATGGAGGAGCGGAGGTTTGGTGAACATGTGTGGGTGGAGGCCCTGTTGGTGCCAGAGGCATCAGCCCCTCCTTGGTTGAAACCCACCCATTTGAAAGCTGGTGGAAAGCCCGAAAGAAAATACTCAGCAACCACGGGTTCCTCCAGGAGGGGGTAGCTCCCTCCCTGGGTCATGGAGCATTCTCTGCTCTGCTTCCATCCTCAGCCTCAACCACAAAAGGAAATATAGTCTGCTTCTCGAATAAAAAATTTAAAGGGCCTCGTGAAGGTCATGGGGACCCAGATGTGGGTTGATTTGATAAAGGCAGACATAAAGAAATTGGATAGAAAGACAAATAGAATCTTATTGGAGCTGTGGCAACAAATAAAACTGGAGATGTGGTTCCAGCCACGAGGACAAAGAAGCAGAAGCCAGTGACAAAGCAACAAAACCAGCCTGTGTGTCTACAAGGAGAGGCTGGAGAAGGTGGGTATTGAAAGGCTCACCCATGGTCCTTTCCGTACTCATTTGAATATAACTGGTTTGAATACAGCCAGGATGACCACTTGGTGGCAATGGATCTCCTCAGGCTTGAGGGTTGTTATAATTTGTTGTAATTTTTGTTATTTGTATATTGTCACGGCCTCTATTGTTACTAAGGAATTTGGTTATGATGTTCCAGCTTCCTTGAATAGGGACCATTGCAGAAGATTGAGGGCATGCAGACTGAGAGGCAAAAATCCTGGAGGGGTGAAGTGTGGATAAAGTGAAGGTTCTTATGGCCAGGATTCTCACCTGGCCCTGGTTGGCCTGCTCACTACACACGTGTGGGCAATACCTTGCTACTGACTCTATAAAAAGCTCTGCCCAGTACTCTGAGAGACACAGTGGCAGGGCTGCAAGGCTGCCAGAGAGCAGAGACGAGACTGGAATAGTGGCAGTGCCAATGACAGAGACTGAGACAACTGCAGGGGCAGAGAGGCCCAGAGGCAGAGACTGGCTTGCTGCATGCAGAGTTGCTCTGAGTGGACAGGATTTAGTGACTGACCTGCTACCGTGAGAATAAAGTTGGGTACAAACCCTTTTATCCTAAGAATGTTCCATTGTCATTCCATGGTCTTACTGAATCCATAGTGAACTTGCCTAGAGCTGAAATCACTCGCAAGACACACCTGAAATGTGAACTATTCTATGTCTGTAAATTTTTTACGGTCTTTGAAATGTTTTAACTCATGGTGGAAGATCAAAGAACATGGCTTCCTTAGGAGATATGGATAGTTCATAAAATATTTTTGCTGATCACTTCAGATGCAATCTAACTAAAAATGAACTCAATGTTTTTTTTTCTTTTTTCCTATCCTAAATTGAATACTTTATTGGCTAGATACTATAAAAAAATGAGACAATATCATAATTGGAAGCAGCAATCCAAATTCTGTGGTTGATCTCTACAGTAATTAAAAAAAAAAAAACAAAGCCTTTTTCTGAGAATGTTTAAACCTAAAACAATATGGGCTTTGTTTACTCACCACTCTTCTTTGCAAAATACAGTATTAGACTCTATATTCTCTGAAATTCCTTCTAGTACTACATTTCATGGTTCTTACCTTAGAGTTTAGAGAAATATTCTACAATTACTGTGAAATTGAATACTTTGAATGAAAATATTTGTTTAATATCACAATCTGTACAAACCATGGGTGAGATTAATCAACAAGGCACCAAAGGCAAAATAACTTAAAATACTACTGGGGACAAGGGAGAAGTGACATTTATTGATACATCATATTTTTTACATACATAATTTAACTTCATTTTCAACAATTCTTGGAAGTAAACTTTATTATTTCATTTTGAAATAAGGAAACAGAGGCTCAACAAAGTTTAAGTGGCTTGCTCAGGAGTACCAAGGTAAGTGATAGAGCCAAAACTTAAACCCTGGTCATTACATCTATGAATTAAGTAAAATACTGAAGATAGTACATTGTACACTTTTGTGGAATGATTTATACTGATTAGCAAGTAGGTTTTATTGAGAGCAAATCGTATATGAATTTTCTGATTATACAATTTGAAATGCGTTAATAATTAAATTATTCATGTTTAGAAAACATTAGTATTCGTTTATGGACTATCTCAACAGAACAGGAAATATTTGTCCTAAGTGTTGTGACATCACACACACGTTTCCATGGGTGAAACGTGTACTGGCTGAGCCTATTTTCTTGGTTAGATCCTACTGTCTATCTCTCCAGAAAACTCCTCTGAGGATCAATTTCAAGCAGCAGGTAATAACTTACAACGGAAATATAAAAGAGCAAACCTTCCCGAAATACAAAAAATTTTATTTTGAAAGTACAATAAGCATTAATCCCTCAAATGAAATATGTAACAAAGATAGGTATAATCTTGGCTTCTTCACAAGTTCTTCCTGAAAGACAAGCGGTTAAGAGGGGTCAGAAGCCAAACGTCGAGAGGTCCCCCTTTTCTCGAGCGAACCTCAGCAGCCCAGCTGCCCGCCGCCCGGCTCCCCGCGGTCGGTTCCGGCGCCCTCTGTGCCCTCGGGGTATGACAGTGGCGAACCCGGCTGCGGGCTGGCCGCGCGCTAGACAAACTCGGGTCACTAGAGATACATCTTTAAACGGCTAGGGCGCCAGTGCCTTGGCGCAGGGCATTTCTAGCTCCTACGCCTCGGCTGGGCTCTCCCCTTCTCTTCCCTCAACTTCTCCAGCCAAATCCTTCAGGAAAACTGGACCGTCCTTGTCACCCCGCCACCAGGCCTTTCACAAACTCCCTCAAGCATCTGTCTTCTCTCGTCGGTCCTCTCAGAGTCCATCTCGGGCCCTGGCACTAACAAGACCGAGAGGCAAAAATCCTGGAGGGGTGAAGTATGGATAAAGTGAAGGTTCTCAATGGCCAGGATTCTCACCTGGCCCTGGTTGGCCAGCTCACTACACATATGTGGGCAATACCTTGCTACTGCCTCTATAAAAAGCTCCAGCCAGTGCTCTGAGCGACACAGTGGCAGAACTGCAAGGCCTCTCCGGAGGGTGAAAAGACCTGCTTCCAGTCGTCGCCTCCCGCAGCGGCCGTGCCCACCGTCCGCTCCGCCCCTTCACGCCTCCTGCTCCCTTTCCCGCGGCCGGAGTGCCCCAACCGCCCGAGGGCGGAGGAGGGAGCGCATGCGCGCCGAGGGTGGAGCCGCTTTGCGAAGAACCGGAAACTTACACACAAAGTTCCAAGCCCCGCCCCCCGCCGCGCCGCCCCGCTGCCTGGCCCCGCGGACCCACCGCCGATCTACGTACACCCCGGCGAATCGGCCTGGCTCCCGCGAGCGCCATGTCTGGCTCCTCCAGCGTCGCCGCTATGAAGAAAGTGGTTCAGCAGCTCCGGCTGGAAGCCGGGCTCAACCGAGTGAAAGTAAGCGGGGCGGGTGGCCGAGGGGGAGGGGAAGGCGGGGCGGCGGCGGGTGGGACTCGGTGGCCGAGCCGGCCGGGGCGGGCAGGACTTGCGTCCGGCTCTCGCTTCCCCTCGGGGGACGCGCGCTCGTCGGCGGCGAGCTGCGAGCGGCCAGCTGTAGAGAAGTAGCGTCCAGCGTTGGCGCTGTGGTCGGGGGCCGGGAGTGCGCCCTTCCGCCCCAGCACTGTCCAAGGCGGGCTGGCCCCTGGGCCGAGCAGCGGCTTTCCGCATTCCGGTTCTCCTCCCCCTCTCCCTCCCTCCGCAGGTCTTCGCCGCTGGCTTCGCCCACCACTCAGCCCCTCCGCTCTGTGTCCGCTCCCAGCCCGTCCTTCTGTACCAGTCTCCACCGTTTCTAGTCACTGGACAGGGTTTTAACCGACGTCTGATTCAGAATACACCAGTTTTTTTTCATGTTAGAACTTTCCCAAACCCACTTCTTTTAGTAGATTCTTAACATCCAGGTCCTTTCATCTGCCGAACACACTGAATTGAAAACGAATTCTTGCACAGCTTAGACCATAGGTTAAAGAAGCATGCTTGTTTTGGAAACTTCGCTGTGTGTAAGGTTACCACTGGTGCCCTGTACAACCTCAACCTCATGCAAAGCGTAGTTTGCTGTGATCTGACCTTGGGGATATCGACTGGTTCGCATATCGCAGAAAGTGATTACGGTGGAGCGATCTTAGTTATTTTGGATTTGTGAGGATATGGCAACCCGTCATTCAAGTGCTATTCCAAGTTTCTCCTGATTTTTAAAATCTTAAGGGGATTGGCTTGCTTCTTTTAATTTGAAAAAACAATAGAAGAATATAAATCTTGAACTTTGTTGAAGCAGCCAATTTTCAAGATGATTTGATTTGTGTACTTACAGGCCAGTCCTTAACTACCATGCAATGTTGTATGGAGTATGATCTCCCATTTACCTACATCATGAAGTAAAAATGTCAGGGACCTAGCTTACTCAGTTGTGGTCACCTCAGGAGGCAGGGGAAATTCCCATCAGTCTTCGTGTGGGATTCCCCTCCCTTCCTGTTTTAAGTGTTACAGACTCCATTGCTGTTTGGAATCCACTTCTCTAATCTCAGATTCTTACCTCATCCCAGTGTTTATGGTCAGTCTGGGCTGGATTTAACTCTGAAATTTGAAATAATATGTTTCTTAACGAACCATTACATTATTCAGATGTGCCTTTATCATTGTTTGGAGTGGGCCAGGAAAGAAAAAAATGGGAAAGGGGTAAAAAAAAAAAAAAAAGGGTTGTTGAAAGCAGTAAGGGGTACTTAGCCCTAGTCTCCAAAGAAAATGAGAGAACATCCTTACACTAAAGTGTTCCGAGGACTTCACCATGAACACCCTGCCCTCTACTGTTACTCCTCTGGGTGATGATTGCCTCCCATACTTAATGCTTTAGGCTTTTGTTGGGGATCATTAAAGCCACCACAAGTGATTTGGTTTTAGAGTTCTTGATTTGCTTGATGCCCTCCCGATCCCACCTTGGGATTTTAAATGAGATTTATTTTTTAGATGTGTTGCAAAATATGCTTTGATTTCATTTTTTGCATCTATCTTACCCATGACAATGTTAGATGCTTTTTTATGTGTGCTATTTTATTTTTAAACTAGCACAAGATTACCATTTAATGCTTAAACCTTTGTGTTTGAGTAGTTAATAAAAATGATCACAAATGATTGACAAACTCTCCTATATGTAGGGTGGCCATACACTTTATTGCCAAAGCAGGACATTTTTGAAAGTGAAAGGGGCACTAATAATTATGCGAGGATTATAGACTTTCAATCTCCTGGGTGGTGATTATTACAATGCCTTAGGGACTTAGCAGCTTGGCTGAGTTTCAGTGCCTTTGTCTCAGTTCTCCCTGTTTGTAATTCTCACTGGCCAGTTTCTCATTGACGTTTCCTTAGCTGGATCTCTTGTCATTGAATTCTCAGTTTAAATGTCACCTCCTCAGAGACATCTTACCATAGGTCACAATCTAACACACCACTTTTTTTTTCTGCCTAGCACTTTGTATTTCTCTCTGAACTGTCACCTCCAAAACAGCAGGGACCTAGCTGTTCTTATGTAGTAGTCTCTGTGCCTAAAAGTTGGACACATGATGGTCCCTGAGAAGTTTGTGGAAGGGAGTTAAGTTAGAGGCTACCTACACTTTAGGCAGAAAATGTACAGATACTTGACTGTATCCTTACTGCTGGTTAATGTGACAAGATTGTGAAAAGTGGTGTCACCCACTTCCCCTTTCTGGGGCAGGGGGAAGATTGGCCATTTGTCAGAGTAATTGGTACCAGGTATTTAAAAACTACTTCTTTGCATAGTTGCTAAATAAACCTATGGAACTCATCACCATGGACTGTGTAAGCCAAACATACAAATAGATTCTGAGACTTTAGATTCATCTCAGGATGATGTATCCTTTTATCAGGTTAATGTCTGGGGTACAGCTGTGGTCTTCAGGTTTGTTGATAGAGAATTTGTGATGATCTTACCCTCCTTTTCAAAGGCTAGATACCCATTTGTACTGGACACCTGCTCTTACCCTGTAGGGGATAGTTGAAACTGAGAATAAAATAAGTGATTATTTTCCCTATCTTCCTAAACCTCAATTCAAGACAGGATATTGTATTCATTTGGGGCATCTTTTAGTCATTCATGTTCTACGTCTGTGACCCATTCAGTTCATTGTTTTGGTATCCTGCAACCTTACCAGATACATGTAAATAGATGTTTAAGTGATGTAGGACATAAATGAAACAACTATAAAGCCATGGAAGTTCTTTATGTCCTGTTTGAGTGGCATTGTGTTCACATTTAAGGCAAATACCCCATTTCTTAAAGGCAGGCTGCTCAGTGCAGTTGAAATAAACCAAAGTTTGCAATCAGCCTTTCCGTTACATGGCACTGAGCAGAAAGCTGTCACTGTCCACTTTTGTAACATTAAACAGCTGATGGTACTTAATACCAAAACAGTGAACTGGATGTTCATATTTAGATATGCTCATCCACAGTAACGGTTTTCCAGTCATACTGCTCTCAAGACAAGAGTAATAGTTTGCTAGAATTTTAGCACTTTTTAACCTGTAATGTGTATGCTGCTTTTAATAGAAAGCTACTGAGTACTCTGAAGGTTGCGCTTGAACAGCCTATTTATTAATAAACTAGCAAGATGTGCTATGCTTTGCAAATGAATGGAATTATATTATTTGTTCTGAATCACTTAATGCTTCTAATAAGCAGTCTAAAGAAAGCATACTATATATGGTCTTTAGAGCTCAGTATATGACTGTTTACCTTAAATTAGTACTATCTTTTTAGTTAAGAGAATTGACTATCTTTTGAGTTAAGTGGCACATATTTCTAAAGATTTGAGAAAACCTTCATTGCGTTTCATCATCTTCCGCTTTTCCACTCCTTTTGTGTAGGTTTCCCAGGCAGCTGCAGATTTGAAACAATTCTGTCTGCAGAATGCTCAACATGACCCTCTACTGACTGGAGTATCTTCAAGTACAAATCCCTTCAGACCCCAGAAAGTCTGTTCCTTTTTGTAGTAAAACGAATCTTTGGAAGGTAAGTTCTCTTAAATTAAAACAAAGCCACACGTAGTAGAAGCAGCTAGTTGTCTCTTTGCAGCACTTGCAAGTTGACCAAGGTGTCCCATGCATTTTTGTACGTCACTTCAGGTTTCCAGTCTTTTTTTGTGAGGATTGATGACATTTCCTGACATAAGTCGTCATGAAGATTGTTTCTGTTTTACCATAAAGAGGTTAAATACAGGATTTAATAACTATAAAGGGGCTATAAGGATTATTAGAAAATTCCACTGTTATTTTTCATAGCATTGTTACTTTTTATGGCATTGGCCTAATGGTGCATTTTGGGGTCCCCAAATACGAGTTTAATTTTGTGTACCTAGCAAAAATTTAGACAGTTAAAAAAATCTGCAGTGTTTATGGGGATGACTTTTAAAGTACTACTATGTGATTTGGATTAATTCTGATGTTATCGTTGTAATAGAACACAGCTAATAAAGCAGCATGGCAAAGAACTGACAGTTGGGAATGCAATACATTAATCCAGATCAAATGTCAAATATGTGCAAAATCATGTAATGTTAATCCAAGAGTGCTTTTACACATACATAATATTTTAGAGCCTGTACTCACTAGTACTGACCTATGAGAAGCAGCCTTAAACTTAAAAAAAAAAAAAAAAAAAAGACTGCCTATGGCACACATCCTTACAAACATTCTAGCTCCTTAAAGTCCAGGAAGCTGCTTCCTAAAATACCATATTACATAGTTGTACTCTCCCTAAATAAACTTTGTAGATTTGGGAATGTCTAGGAAATCTGTGTAAGTAGGGTAAAAACACCTCTGAGTAACAGGTTTTCCATAAGGAAAACAGACGAGCACCTTCATATCTAACACTTCTGGCAACATCAGTTCTTTGTGGCAAGTCATTGGAAATTTATTTTTATGGTTCATTAAAGATTCTTTTTAAACCTTAGTTCCTGTTGTATTCACTTTACAAAGTGGTTTATTTTCATTTGATATAAGAAGCCATTTGTTAAGAAGCCTGGCTGTTAATAGTTTGATTTCACAGGAGTCTAC